TTTTCACCTGTACATAATGACATAAGTTACTGGATACTTAGTACTACTATATTTCTCAAACTCTGAAACTTTAAACTTTGGTAGGATAATATATCAAGAACCAAACAAAGTCTGACTGCATCCATGGAGCCATAAAAATTAATTTCTTTAACTATTCATAACGTTTCTTCCAACAAGCTTATTTTTTGATAAGCTTTTGAGTCTTTCAAAGACTCGACCACCTTTAACTTCAATTTTTCCTTTTCCTTGGGATCATTCAAGTTGGAGACTTAGCTTGGTTGTATTACCTTTTTAGTAAAGATGGGGTTCATAAAACTTTCGTAATGCCCCCAATCTAATGTATATGGCATTTTTGGGTAAGTTTACCGCGCAGAGAATGTAAACTACTACGACGGAATGCCCTATATAGATTGGGCCTGATATGGGTCATAAATAAAAGGATCAACAACATCCTAAAATGGATGGTCTTGTAGGTTGGCATTTTTTTCACGGCCTTTCCTTTTGTTTAACTTATTTAAAGCTTCTAAAATTTTACTTAACTCCCCATCGAGTTTTTCTTAGGCTTTCTCTATTTTTTACATACAATTTGCATTTTTGTGTTCCATTTGTCTGGCTCTGGCTCTAGTGTTATATTGATGGTGGGTTGATTGAATAGGGTTCTTAGACGACGAGCTATTCTTGAATCTTGTATACTACAATTAGCATGATCATATTATTAAGTGTTTAAAAATTTTTAAAACCTAAGCTATTTAAGAATCTTATATGCATGAATGAATGAATGCATTGAATGCTTGACACAACAAACTATAATGCATAAACTCATGAATGTACGTACAACAATGTATGAATGGATAAATGAATGCACATGCTAATGTTTGTCATATTATAATGCATAGATGAATGCATATGTTAATAATGTTGTATTAAAATACGACATATAACAACTTAACAATAAATAAAAGATCAAATAAAATTTTGCATAAAATTGATACAAATGAAATTTATAGAGGCCATTTATATGTCCTAAGTAAGATTACATTCTAATAATAGGTAGACATAGCTTTAACTAAGGTTGGCTTTTTATGTTTTACTACATGTGATTTGGGTTAACTTTAAAGGATTCCAAATTGTTCCTCACGTCATTGTTCATCATAGACTAGTAAGACACTCCAATCCTCACATATTATAGGTTACAAACGAAAAATGTTCAATTTGAGTTAGGATGTTTCACTAGCCTAGATGGAGACATGAAATCTCATGAAAACGTAGGTACTAAATTTCTCCTAAGGGACAGGGCTCGGATATCAAGCTCATGTTACGCATGTGCAAATGAATGATAGATATATAAAATAAATAAATAAAATACAAACAAGGAAAAAAATCTTAAATTTATTAGGTTGGGCTTGGATAATAAGAAATCATTTACTGGTCATCTCTCAATCTCATTTCCAATGGAGTCGCCAAACTGTTATAACGTATAAATCCATGAACCTATAGCTAAACTTGACTATAAGAGTCATCACCAATATTTTTTTTATTTAAGTGAGATTGGCCACCTAATTGAATCTATCCCATTTTAAAGAAATGTTCTAAGCTTGACTTAGGTATTTTTAAAAGGTAGATTCTAGTCTACAAAATCATTACTAAGTTTTGGAGTATGATTAGATGTGATGAAGGTTATAGCACCTTCATAATGCACATCGAAGGATGCTACTAGTTTAATTTTATGCTATTCAAGCCTTGAAACATATATGTATTTTTACCAAATAATTTAATATTGAAAATTGGTTTTAAAATTACTCTAATCATTTGGTAACAATTTAAGATAATTTTCTCACCTTAGGAGTATTCATGGAGACTTGTCTCCTACCTTGAAGAGGCTCTGTCATCAGATTCATTAATGTGTTTTTTCTCAAGAAATTAATTTTGAAAATAATTAATAAAATCCTCTAATCGTTTGGTAGGATTTTATATCGATGCATATCCCATAATCATTTGGTGGGATTTTTATTTGGAAAACCTTTATGAAAAATTTAAAAAGAATCATCAAATCTTCCAATATTTTGGTAAGATTTAACTCAGAGATTTAAATATTCCAATCATTTGGTAGGATTAAAAAATTATTTTTACTTTAAAATTCATTATGAAATTCTCCAATCGTTTGGGAGAATTCATAATTCGATATTTAAATCTTCCAATCATTTAGCAGGATGAAAAATTAATTTTCAAAATTCAATATGAAATTCTCCAATAGTTTGGTAGAATTCATAATTTAAAGATTTCTAAACCCATAAAAATCCTCCAACGTTTGATAGGATATCATGAATTAAAAAAATTATTATTATTTTAAACATTTTAAAACATCCATAAACAATAGCATAAAATAAATAAAAGCAAATAAAAATTATACCAATTAGACCAGATCTAAGTCAGAATCTAAAATAAATTGAGCTTGGAATGGCCCAACAAAATTCTGACCAAGCTTGAAAAAATAGGGTTGGCTAGATGATTTGGGCTTCACTATGGGGCTTGAATTTTCTTCAAAATCGTGAGCGAGCTGGGCACTATTTCAATTAAGCTCCGCAGTAAAGTGAAGATAATGGAGAAACAGTATGGTGTTTTGCTTTTACCAATTGCTTTTGTTTCTTCTTTGATCACTATGTTCCTCCACACTGAACTCCCAAAAGAAAATCCTAATTATATAAACCCAAAACACCATAAAAGATTATAAAAAAAAATCTTAATTTTTTTTTGCTTTTTTTTTACTTTTTCTCTTTAAAATTTTTTGATTAATTCCTTATTGTTTCTAATTGATCATAATGTGATTTTTTATAGGCCTATAATCCTAATTACAATAGGAAAAAGGAGTTTTCTTGGTTTAAATCTCCTAATCAACTTTAACTTTAGATTTTTAATCCAAATCCACCTCTCAAATCAATTCCTTTTTATATTCATTTTTCAATTAGAACACTTTAATTCAACAACTTAATTAGAATTAAACCATTTTTCAAGGTTTAGGAAAACAATTCTTTCCCTTTTTTTAAAATAATAATAATAATAACTCTAAACTAAATATAACACTAAAAATAAATAAAAAAATTCAAAGCCTAATATAAAGTGACCTCAGACTAAATTAGGTGTCTACAATCATGTTTAAGTTTTTTTTGTTTTATATTTTTCTTTATTTTTTTAGTTATTACACATTTGACTAAATTAACTTTAAGTTTGGCAAAAATTAACTTTTATATAGAGATTATTAAACTAGTTAGAAGTTCTATCCAATTTCTTGTATGGCAGTATGTTTACAATATATGAATTGCATTTTTACTCATATATTTCAAATGTTAGGTAGGTTGATTTTCATTACCATGCATAATTGTATTTTGATTATGTCTTCTTATTCTTTATAAATTACATAAATTAAACTATTTAATTTAATTAGTTATGGAGAAATATCTTATTAAGAAAAAGTCAATTTTTGAATAATCATTCGAAATCAATACTAGTGGCATACAACATTATATAAAGGAAGTTCATGTTGAATTAAATTTAGATGATCTTCCTTCGATCTTGGGTTACAAAAAAAATTTGGACTATAACGCTAATGGTAGAGACAAGGTTCAAAAAGTTTATATTTTCAAAAATGTCTATGTCAACCTTATGAACATAATTTTTCAAAAAAAAAAAGTTGGAAAGATATTATGTAATTTTATTCCTATTTGGTTCAAAGATTATGCTAATTGGTTGGAATATAATATAAAGATGGATGTTGCTTTTTGTTTGTGTTGTTAACTTTATAGACTGGATATTGGAGAGCAAGCAAGTGGTGATTATTTTGTTTTAGATGAATTCACAAATTGGAAAAAGAAAGATTTGATATTCATGTTGGAGGTCCTAATAGTGCTCATTACAAAGCTTAGAAGTGTTGCCAAGATTTGCTAAATCAAAAGCAACATATTCAATTTGCTTTTGCAAAATAATTCGATCAAGTACGAAAATATTATCATGTTCGCTTAACTGCGATACTTGATTGCAATCGTTTTCTTTTATGTTAAGGTTTGGCATTTCGTGGTAAAGATGATAATGAGAATTCTCACAATCAAGGAAATTTTCTTGAACTTTATAGATTTCTTACCAATTATAATGAAATCATCAATAGTGTTGTCTCAGAAAATGCACCGGGAAATTCAAAAATGAAAGTACATGATATTGAAAAAGATCTTATTCGTGTTGTAGCAATTGAGACTGCACTGCCATAATGGAAGATCTTAGAAATGGATTATTTTTCATTTTACTTGTTGAATATCATGATGTTTCAATCAAAGAACTAGCTGTTATTGCTTAGCGCTACATGGATTCTAAAAAGCAAATTATTGAATGTTTTCTGAGTAAATACATGTCAATGATAAAACCACTTTGTCATTTAAAGTAACTATTAAAGCATTATACTCTAAGCATAATTTAATTATGTCAAGGATTCATGGGTAAGGTTATGATGGAGCAAGCAACATGCAAGATGAATTCAATGGTCTAAAAACTTTGATCATGAACAATAATGTATCTATTTATTATGTTCATTATTTTGCTCACCAATTTTAACTGACACTTGTAACCGTGGCAAAGAATCATGTTCAAATTGTATTACTTTTCAACATTGTGACAAATGTAATGAATATTGTTGGGGGTTTTGTGTAAACAAAGAGATGTTCTTCGAGAAAAACAACTTGATAAAGTTGTCAAGGCATTATGAGCTAGTGAACTTTTGATGGAAAGAGGTCTAAATCAAGAAATAAGTCTTCAACAAGCTGGGACACATAATGTGGTTCATAATATGGGACTAATAAATTTGATTCTTATGTTTAGTTCCATTAATGATATGCTTGAAATTGTTATGGAGGATGGGAATAGCTCGCAGCAAAAAAGTAAAGCCTCTGCTTTATTTGATTCAACTCAATCTTTTGACTTTGCTTTCAACTTGCATTTGATGAAAAATATCTTAGGGATTACAAATGAATTATCCTTGGCATTACAAAGGCGAGATCAAGATATTATGAATGTAATGGCATTAGTAAGAGTAGCGAAGCAACAACTACAAATGATGAGAGAATATGGATGGGAATCTTTACACAATGAGGTTTCTTTATTTTGTGAAAAAAAAAAACAATATTGGCATCCTAAATATGGATGATATATTTGTAACTAGTAGAAAACCTCGATGCAATGCTCAAACAATGACAAATTTATATTATTATCAAGTTAAGTTGTTTTACACAGTAATTGATATGCAATTTCAAGAGCTCAACAATCATTTTCATGAGATGAATTTAGAGTTATTTCTTTGTGTGACTTCTTTAAATCCTTATGATTCTTCTCCAGCTTTTGATAAGAAAAAGTTGATCCATCTTGCTCAATTTTATCTACTTCAATTTTCTAATATGGAGTTATTAGTTCTTGATAATCAACTTGAAACTTATATTATTGATTTAAGATCTCATGATAAGTTTACAAGCTTGAAATGTATCGGTGACCTCTCCATGAAACTTGTTGAGACAAAAAAATATTTTGTGTATCCATTGGTATACTTGTAAAATTAGCTTTGTTATTACCAATTTCTACTATATTAGTTGAAAAAGTTTTCTTTTTTTTTTTTTTTTTGCTATGAAAATTGTGAAGAACCATTTGCACAACCAAGTGGGAGATTCTTGTATAAATGGTTATTTGGTTACATATATAAAGAAAATGTATTTTGTAATATTAATAGTGAAAAAATTTTACAACGCTTTCAAAATATGAAAGCTCATAAAGAACAAATGTAATATGTTATTTTTATGTATACATAAAATAGTTTTTTATTCATTTTAGTTAACTTATATATATTCAATATTATATATATTTTTACCCCCACTGAGTATAATCTTGATCCGTCCCTGATAATAAATAGATATAAATGATAAGATAAGGGTTTTATTACCTTTTATGTTATATAAAATGCTATAATATGCATAAATATTTTAACAATATAGGTAATTGATAATAAAAATATATAATTTCAATACACATTGTTTGAAATAATATAAAATTTCATAAAAATTAGTCGTAAAGCATTAATTAAGAAAATTAATGTTATTACTTCATATTATCTAATAAAATAAGAAATAAATGTAAATATTAATAAAAAGTAATATTATTTATTTTAAAGTAGAGTAACAAAAATATGTAATTTTTTTAATGTAAAATGAAATTTCATTAATCAAATTAACTTATTACAATATGAATAAATGACTGGCAAAAGTTTAGGACAATCCTCTACCCAATAAAGATCTTGATCCAACGTTTCACCATACTTGGCTAGTGTGTTTGTTGCTTGGTTGCCCATCCTTCTAGTATGAATAACCTAAAATTTATGAAAAGGTTTCATGTGTACATGAGCCTCCTCTATAATAATGTCGATTGGGGACAAATCTTGTTCTTTGCTTCTTTAGTTTTGTATTACCCCTAATGCATCTCTTTCCAGCATAATTCTTGCAAATCCCATTTCTTTAGCAAACGTTAATGGTTTCACCGTTGCCCATCCTTCCATCATCCAAGGGTTTGCAGCATCTGTTATTTTAGCAACAAAAGCACCAAGAACCTTCCCTTCGGCATCCTTGATAACGGCCCCCACCTCTCCTGTTTTGTGTTCTTTGTTACAAGCTCCATCGAAGTTTATTTTGACCAGTGTAATAGGTGAAGACATCTACTCTTTTGCACCCTCTTGTATCCCACCCTCTTGTTTTGGTTGAGCTTGCAAGAACTCCTCCTTGTAAACTCTTGCAAAGTTGGCTGTTTGGGTTGCATTTTCTTTCTTTCGACCATGAATCCCATTGTTCCTTCTGGACCATAAAGCCCATGTTGCAATCAGGAAGATCTCAAAATTCAAAATTTCCCTGGATAAGTTGATTAGATACCTTGTCGACCCATTTTGCTATAGACATGGATGTATTAAGTGTCACGTTCCAGTTGAAACCTAGTTTGCTCCACACCTCCTTAGGTTCAGGACAATTACGTATGGCATGAAGCACTAACTCCTCCTCTACACTACATCTTGGATAATCCCCATTCATAAGGATTTTCCACCTTACCAGATTATGTTTGGTTGACATTATGTTATGTTTCAATCTCTTTTCAAATACCTTGATCTTATTAGGCAACTTGGCAGACCATAATCTCCTCCATGTATTTTTTTTTGGGTTCTCACTTGGTTCAACATCTTCCCCATTAACTTATTGGTTACGCAGTGCACGATATCCACTCTTGACTGAATAGGTTCCCTTATTAGTATACTTCCACACTATTGTGTATGGGCATTCAATGCTGCTAATTGGTATTGCATGTATAGCAGCAACCTCCTCTGGATTAAACAGACTTTGAAGCGAATCAACTTTCCATTTCTTAGTCTCGTTATCTATTAAGACATTGACATGAACATCTTTTCCCAAATCACCTCTCCTCGACAAGGGTTTACACACCCCATTAATAGGTAGCCATGCATCCTTCCAGAGTTGTATTTGTTTCACCATCGTCTACCCTTCATGTAATCCCTTGTCGCAACAACTTTAGGGTATCCCATATGCTACGCCAAGTTAAAGATGGATTGTACCTTAGTTCCACCTCTAAAAGATTACCATTGGGAAAATACTTTGCTTGTAGCACACTTTTAGCTAGAGATAAGAAAGCTTTCAACAATCTCTACCCCTGTTTACAAAACAAAGCTTGGGTAAATTTTCTCATAACTTTGAACCCCATCCCACCATCTTCTTTAGAAGCACACGACTTACCCTAGCTTAACCAATGTATACCTCGCCTGTTTTCCTCCAACTCCATCAGTATTTGCTTATCATGCTGTCAATTTCTATGCACAAACCCTTTGGCAATTCAAAATAATTCATTGCATAAGTGAGCATGGCTTGTAGAATAGCCTTTATGAACATTGCTTTGCTATCCTAGCATAGCATTTTTTATGTTCTTTCTTGTATCCTCTTCATGATTTTGTCTTTCATCTCCCTAAAAGCTTTTTTCGCCCTCTCCTTATCATAGTTGGTAATTCCAAATACTTTTCTAGATTTTAGAGAGCTTGAATACTGAACACCTCTATCACCACTTCTTTTGGTTTTTGGCCAGTGTTGCTGCTGAAAAACAGATTAGATTTCTCAAAGTTTATCATTTGACCAGATCCATCTTGGTATCTTTGTAGCATGTGCCTTACTCTTTCACTTTCCTTCCTGTCGGCTTTTGCAAATAGCATGTTGTCATCAGCGAAAAACAAGTAAGTGATCCTTGATCCATGTTAGCTAGCTCAAGCATTTGTCATCAGCTTGTTCTTTTGGTTGCTTGTAAGCATAGCCGACAAACCTTCTGAACAAATATGGAGAAGATAAGGCGACAAAAGATCTTATTGCCTCAACCCTCTTTCAGGATAAAATTTATCAATAATATGTCCATTAACCACAATTGAGTAGGAAATAAAAGTAATACACTTCATAACAAGTCCTACCCATTTATCTTGAAAACCTAACTTAATTATCATGGCTTTTAGAAAATTCCACTCTACCTTATTATAAGCCTTCCTCATATCCAATTTTAGTGTAAAGGAACCATCTTTCCCTCTTCTTTTAGATTTAAGAGTGTAAAATAACTCATAAGTTACTAATACCTTATAAGCAATAAGCCTTCTAGGTATAAAGGTGCTCTGTGACTCACTAATCCAAGAAGGTAAGAGTATCTTAAGTCTATTGGCCATGGTTTTGGCTAAGATTTTGTACATGACATTATAGAGACTTATGGGCCGAAACTCGGACATAAGTGTTGGACATTTAACCTTAGGTATCACAATAATGTTTGTGCCATTAATGTTACCTAACTTTTTCGAGCAAGTCAATACTGACAAGCAAAACAAAATTATGTCAGGTTCTATAATATGCTAATATTTTTTGTAGAAAAAAGCAAGCATACCATCCGGTCCTAGTGCTTTGGTGAGATGCATTTGCTTTATAGCCCTAAGAATCTCATCTGCAGTGAATTCTAATGGGAGTAAATTATTCATTTCATCCATTACTTGGGTTTTAAAGTTCCAAGAATGCCTTCAAAATGGTAAGTTCTTTGTGAAGTGAATAGTTATTTAAAATATTCCACTGCAATGTTTTGTACGTCTTCTTCTTTTTCCCTTCGCCTTTTTCTAATTGAGACTTGTGCATGGAAAAACCATGTATTTTTGTTTTTTTTTTCATCAGCCAATTGACTCTCAAACTCTGCATCCAAAAGGCTTCTTCTTCCTTGATCAACTTGTTCATCTTTTCTTTAAACTTCCTATTTTCTAGCCCCTTATTTGTTGGATACTCATCTTAGCATTGATGTAGTTCTTTGTATAGGCTAAAGATTTTTTATTTTCTCCTGTGGAACTTCCCTTTGTTCCAATCATTTAATTCGGCTCCAACCTTTGCGATCTTTTTCGTTCCTATTGATTTCCATTGCTCCAACTATATTTTATAACTTGCTCACATCCTTCCTTCTCGGACTACTAGACCTCAAATGAGAACTTATTCCTCTTGTGTCTTCATCACCTTTTATCTCTATACCCCTCTGTATCCACCAATACAAGACAGTGATCTGAGACCAACCCTACCAAGAGCTTCACCATATATAATGGATATGTCCTACACCAACTTAAAAGAGCTCTGTTGAATCTTGGTCTAATTAGTGTGTTGGTATCTCGTTCTCTCTCTCAAGTATACCAACTACCAACAAAACCCAAATCCATTAAACCATATTCATCTACTGACTGTCTAAATGTTTCTATTTGTTGTGCTGGCCTTAGTCAATCCCCACTTTTCTCATAATCCCACATTATCTCGTTAAAGTAACCCAAGCACATCCATGGCTTAGTCAAAACCTGTGATAGGCGTCTAATCAGCTCCCACAACGCATTCTTTCTGCTAGTCTCTAATACACCATAAAAGCCGGTTATTCTCCATTGTCCATCTCCTTCATCTTTAACCTCCATGTTTATGTGGTTTCTTGAATAACTCAGCATTTTGAGTGGCACTTCTTCTTTCCATAGCATCATCATCCCTCCACTTCTTCATGTCGAGCTAACTCCAAAACAAGCATCCATTCAACACTTCCTTTTAATATGGTCAGCCTTTATTTGCATGCAACTTGGTCTTTGACAAGAACAGTGCATAGGGATCTTCTCTCCTTATCGACTCCCGTAGAGCACGAACTGCTCGCGGGTTCCCAAGCCCATGATAATTCCAAGCAATGCACCTTATTGTGCT